TGTTTTATCGGGTAAGTAATACCAGTTTGTCATATAAACTACTTCACCAACCTTTTTGCTCTGTGAAAAATTGAATTTCGTTAGTCGTTATTACGATTTTGATATGTTGCATTTATGTCAAATATTAATATGCGCCTGATACCTGTTCTGTCAATATTTCACCTATGTAACATATTAGAAAAACGTTGAAACCGATTGAAATATATATCATAATATACGTAATGAGACTTTGAACGTTTTGATCAGCCCATTCCTGGAAGTGTCACGCAAAAGGAATAAGATAGTTATATATAAAAACTAATTTACAATGACTCCAAAAAGTATCTGCACATCATTTTCCAATGAAGCGCCCTTTTAATGGAGTTGTGTATTTCATTTTATTTATTAAAGTTTTAATTATATGAAAGTAGTATTGAATGATAGGAGATTTATCATACTTGGTTCTAATTAATTAGTAATACGTGCAATGGGGCGCAAATACTTTTTGTGAACACTGTGAATTTGACATTGAGAGAGAATGTTTGATGTATACCGAAAGAATGTAGTAACCCAGTATGCATATGTCCATCGTGCATCTAAATATCTCTAAAAAATATATCCGGTTCATCAGATTCTCGATATATCCAATGAAACTGCAATTATCATGTAACATAATCACAGTGTTCACTATCACGAAACCAACAAAAAAGAATACGAGTAATCTTACTTCAGCGTCCTCAAATGTCGCTCCACGATAACTCCTATGCTGTTAGGACCATCTGTCTTCTTCGGTTCGTTCACGAATTCAGTGATCCATACCATAACTACATTCAGCTGACCGCACGCGTGAGCAGCTAGAACAGCTGCAAGACTGAACATTCCAACTGTACTGGAATTCGCAATCATAGTACACCACGCTTGTAAAAAGAGCATGATTTCGTTCGTTGGACTTTCATCGACGTTTATTAGCTTCTTGTATACTGCACAAGGTAACACGTGTAAAATCCTCGTCTCGTTTCCAATTTGAATCTCCACTGTATCCATTGCTGCGACGAAAATAAAGCACATAATGCCACTCTGCATGAAAATAGCGCACGAAGCTGCTACATAGCGACCGAATTTCGCGTTCTTTAGCATCACCCATTGATCCTTCTCTCTGGTCACTGTTTGCCAGTCAGCTTCCATGTGTTCCATGCACTGACGTATATCTTTGCTCCGAAGTAGTAAAGTAGTGTAATTCGCGCCACTGACGATCCAATGACTGACGGGACCTAGCGACTTTAGTTTCAAATAAATACTCTCGTCTTCTAAAAACATGCGTACCAAACAAGGAATCGTAGTGAGTATTATCGAAGAGTAGCAAATGACGTTTAATGTAATCGAAACTATCTTCTCGAATCTCGTAGTAGAGGGAAACGACGGCCATACACCGATTGGTTTTAGGAACCATCGATTCAGTTGGAGACCGTAGTCACTATTGGCCTTAGCGCTTGCTCCTATTGTCACGGGCTGGTTCGTCATCGCGAAATGTAGTCGTCATTGCGATCGTAGAGACTATTAATGCATCAAAAGGCAATGCGTGGGGACTCCGGCGCAAGTTTTTTAGGTACTTATTCGCTGATCGATTCCAGTCGGTTGGAGTTGTTTCAGAACAGTTGAATAAACTTGTAAATTATTTCGCGGTATCGTGTGCACGCAAAGTGCATTTTCACTGTGTACTCAAACTTTTTTTAATCGAATTGTGTTATGTAACAAAAGCTTATAGTCGGTTTTGTCAGTTCTTTAGTGTCGTTGCTTTGTAATGCCATCTCTAGGATTTGATTTGATATTTTTGAACGAATGTCGTCTGACATTGCTTGATTTGATATGAAGGAAATATTATCAACAATTATAATAAAAATGAAAAATCTCAAAGAAAGAATAAATTTTAAAAAGAATATTCATATTGGTAGATTTATGAGACATTAAAGTGTGTTACCATTGTTTATATTTCAATTTCTACGATTTAATCTACAAAATTATATATGTAAGAAATTCATTAGAAGTGCATTTAGCTATGTCATTTGACACAGTATATTAAGATACGCAAATGCCAATCTCATCACCTGGAATAGCAAATATTATAGTTTGGAAAGAAAAATGCGTATACATAGGTAACAGATAATCATTTGACTTACATCACCGAACGTATGTATGGACATGTGAATTAATTTTCCTGCGGTGATTTCAATGACCACACTCGATCGTGCGATGATCAAAATCAACTCAAGGATTCTTTTTCTAGGTAAGATATACCAATTTGTCATATAAACTATCTCACCGACTTTCATGCACTGTCAACAATTCATTCGATTAATCGTGGATTCCTTGGTCTGGATCGGTGGACATCTTCGTGTTAACATGTCACCGGTACCTGTTCTGTTAGCAATTCACCAATATAACATAGTAGAAATGTATTGAAAGTAACTGATGCAAATATTATGAAATAGGAAGTAAGGCTTCGAACATCATGATCGGACCATTCCTAGAAATAAGTATATTCATATCTTCTGAAAAAATTTCGAATTTTATCAGAATGAATCTTTTGATGTGAAAAATGGAGATGCGATATGAGTGGGTTACGAATTTTGATGATTTTACGCGGAACACATATATTATACAAAATTGTATAGAACATCCAATATAAAGTAGTCGTGAAACAAATTTCTATTTAATTTGTCACTTTAGTTCGTGTATTCGTAATAATATTTTGAATAAATATCTACGATTAGGTACGAAACTATCGACATACGTGTGATATATAGGACAATCAAGAAATATTTTTGGACGAAGCTTTATCTTATGTTTTACGTGTTTACAAACAAGAAAAATCTGTTATATAGATACAAGCTTGATACTTCATTAAAGCATAACTCCTTGATTCAGAACTACTATACTTATGTGATGTACTGAATATACCAAATAAGAATTAATTTGAGATTGATTCGCTGGGGTAAAACAATATCAAAATCATCTTTATACAGTAATAAATTCAATATTTTATCATTGACAAGAACAAGAACCACTTTGAAATGGAATATTAACAACTAGTGACCACATTGATTGTCAATTTTCGTTTTCTAGTATAGTCCGTGTACATTTGTTTTCCGTCATATTTTTCTCATAACTTTTTAAGAATTTCAAACATTTTCGTTAGTTATTCCTATAAAACATAGTGAAAAAACATGCTCAATAGAGTCGGTGCACCTTATATATTCACGTAGTATTAATATAGTATAAGGATAGCTTGATATCGTATTAGATTGCCCAGAAAGACTTTTTCCTTTTATAAGAAAATAATAGATACGTAACATTTGTTGTTTTATATTATTTTATTGAATTATGTATGATCCATTTTGCACTATTAAGGTAAAGAGAACAACATTTGACTGATTGGGTTTCATGTTTGTATAAAGATGCATTGTTGTAAAAGACATGTTTGTAAAAGAAAGACACTTTGGGGACAACCTAATATTATTCAATGTCAGTTTAAAAAATTAGTTACATAATAAACACTACATATATCTGATGTCCCATATGTACCGTAACGATATAATACCCAACCATGCATATTGCCAAAACGCATCTAAACAACTCTGTCATGCACACCCAGCTCATTACTTCTTCTATACGTGCTATAAAACTGCAATTAACACCAACATATAATCACCAATAAAAAAAGCTATTTTCAACAAATTGACCAAAAAGATATAAGAATCTTACTCTAATGTTCTCAGATGATGTTCCACGATCGTTCCAATTTTTCTAAAAGAAGCATCCTCCTTTCTGTTACCAGCTTCATTCACGTAGTCACTGATCCAAATCGTTAACACGCTCAGTTGACCGCATGCGTGTGCTGCTAAGACACTTGCGAGGGTGTAAAATCCAATTCCGCTGGAGTCGGTGATGAAAGCCGACAGAAACTGCATTACGAGGACTATTTCGTTCGCGGGGCTCGTGTCAACTGGAATCATCCTGTTGTAAACACCAAGGGGCAACGAACGCATCATCCTTGTCTCGTTACCAACTTTAATGATCTGCGTACTGGACGCACTTACTATACAGTAAGACATGATACCACTGTGCACGAAGATCGCGCATATAGCTGACACGTATCGGCCAAACTTCGCGTGTTTCAACATTACTTGTTGCTGTTTCTCTTTCGTCACTATTTGCCAATCAGTTTCAATGTGTTCCACACAGTCACTTATATTTCTGCTTCGAAACAGCAGGTTGGTGTAGTTGATTCCACCGATGAACCAATGACCCAGAGGACCGAACACTTTTACTTTTCTATAAAAACTATCATCTTCGAAGATTAAATGAGCGACGCAGGGGATTATGCTGAACAGTATAACGACATAACAGAGGATGATCAAAGAGACGGAAATGACTTTTTCGAGTGTCGAGGTGGTGGAAAAATATGGCCAAGCACCGATCGGTTTTAAGAACCAGCGATTTAACTGGAGACTGTAATCACTGTGGCTTTTGGCGTCCGTTTTTATAATCGTGGATTCGTTCATGGTGACTGCTCATCGGAGTCGCAGTAGCTATTGAATTGCTTCTCTTACCGCAGAATAGTAGACACAAAGTTGTTCAACGCTTGCGCGGATTTTTTTCAGTAGTATTATAGTCGATCGATTAGTCTGGTTGTTAGAATTTGTCGCAGGAGAGCAAAGGGAGGTTTAGAAGTTGCTTTAGAAAGTTGGCTGTAATTGGAAGATTCGAAGAATACGAAGCACGCAACGCTTCTGCTGGTTTACTAGGTTACATTAGGTTTTATCGAGGCTGGGATGAATTTATGAAATCGATTTCTTAGACAGTGATGAGACGGCGTCGAAACGAAGTGTTAGATAGGATCGCTGCTAGTTTCAAAGTATAAGGTATAGAAATAAATGCGTTGCTTCTTCTTTACTTATATTTCTGTCTAACAGAAAATTATCATTTATCTACTAACATTGATATTTATATGTTGACTACTGGCCGAATTTTATGTCATACTCCTGGCACTGCCTATTCGGGGATATGTACAATAAAATTCTTCGCTCCGATGGAAGTACAATTGCTAACGACATTTACTATAATATTCAAAGTATTTAAAAATTTTACTAATGTTCATTTAACGAAAATAATTTACTCCTGGCGACATCAATCGACGGTACCAATATGACGTCGTTAGGACCGGTGTAGCTTTCTTGGTTTAAATTTAAAGGGGTTACATCATTGTGCGGATCATGTTCAGGTATGCGAAAGACGTTTTAAACACCTGAAAGATAGGATACACGTATATTTCTATTAAATATGTAAAATTCTAGTGCATAAGATGTAGATTCCATCAAAATTACGCAACAATTTCAGTCTACTATGAATTTAAAATATAATAAGTGCTAAATAAAAATTGGCTATACACAGATATAATAAATTGAGTAAAATTGTTTATCAATGTAAAATCCCAGCATTTTAAACATAGATTCTATCGAGAGTTCGATCAATTGTACCTTAAACGTTTTTATATTTGGTCGATACTTACGGCGCCAAAGGTAGCGATAGATATTTGTACGAATTTTCCAGCAGTAATTTTGACCACCATGCTCGATCTTGAAATAACCAGCACTAAACCGAGAGCAGTTTTGGGAGGTAGTCGGTACCATTCAGTCATATAAACTTTTTTCCCAACTCTTTCACCCTGTCGTGTATTTGATAGTTTGAGGTTTAATATAAATTCTCCTTTATTGTTACTTTCTTACCTGTTCAGTAATTATTTCCCCGATATAACAGAATATAAATATATTAAATACCATGGACGCATACAGTATAGCGTATGCGATTATTACATCCTTCGATTTTTCCTGAGAAATTAAAATATGTGTGTCGTATAAATAGTTACGCGAATTAAGTAGAAAAGTCAACGTATGAGTCGCCGTTCTCTATTTAACACTACTTTATTTACGTCAGAAGGTATCCGAATATTAAAGTGACTTTAACTCTGCTAAATGATATTATAGAAATATTTCTAATACATAAATTTTTTTTTAGTTCTATCTTGAAGCGTACCGTGAGCAAATAATATTTGATCATGCACATGTTCATCGTACATCCCACCAACTCAACGAGACATATCATATTCATAACTTTCTCTATAGATGCCATGAGACTGAAAGTAATATTTTCGTAATATAAACCCATCATAGAAATTTCATAGCAAAATAACATTACAAAATAATAAACGTATAAATTCATCAGAGAAAATTAATTTAGTATAAATAATTTTTCCTACGATTAGAAATGCTTAAATTATTTTGTCGTAGTGATACAGTAGTGTCGTGTTTCATCTATTTAGTGTCTTACTTGAATTTCTAAATCTTAATAATTTGCAAAAAAAAAGTCCATTCTTTCAAAAGCATGTTGATCATAGTCAATAAATCTAGGTACCTTACAATTATCATTGCGGATGACAGATATATCTGAATTAGAAATGCAAATAATAATCAACAGAAGAATCAAATAAGAACGTATTCTAGAAAATGCTGTATCAATAAATAAGTCGAGTACCCAATAACTTGCAATTTTATCATACTTTGCAAGTCTTAAAAGGATACTTGGCTGAAATAGAAGTATAAAACAAAAAGAAAAAAAAGACAAGAAATAACATAGTCTCATTGATATTATCAAATAATCCATACCATTAAATGAGACATATATGCACAAATAACAACACAATAACCAGTAAGAACCTTAATGTTCGCAGATGATGTTCAACGATAATCCCAAGCTTCCTCTGAGCGACTTTCTGTTCTTCCTGTTTCTCCTCCTCCTTCGTATTCACCAAATTGTCCAACCTGGCCATCACCACGTTCAATTGACCACTTGCATGCATCGTTAGGACAGCTGCTAAGCCACAAGCACCCACCGTGACAGAGGTCACGACGAACCCAGAAAGGAGCTGCAGGGTGAGCACGATCTCATTCGCTGGACTGAATCTAACGTCCAACAAATTCGTGTAAAACGGATAAGGTAACGGGTACATGGAGTAACTGTCATTCCCCAGATGAAACATCATCTTCTTAAAGCCATTAGTCACTGTGTAGGCTAGAACGCCACTGTGCATGCACAATGCAGCTACGAGCGCGATGAAACGCCCGACCTTCGCGTTTTTTAACATCAATTCACGATCGCTTTCATTTTCGACGATCTGCCAGTCGCGCTCCACATGTTTTATGCAACGGACGATATCGTCGATTCTCGACAAGAGGCAACAATAATTCAGTTCTCCCATCAGCCAATGACTAACTGGACCAATGGCCTTCATCCTCGTCTTCGAGTTTTCAGCTTCGTACGCAATATACAATATACAAGGTACGATCATGAAGATAATCAACGAATGGCAAATAAAGTTCAACGATCTAACGAATAATCTCTGCGTTCTGGTTGTCTTAGCAAGCCTCGGCCACGCTCCGATTGGTTGCATTAACCAGCGATTCACCTGGATGCTATATTCGAAATCACGAGCGTAAATAACGTTGGATATCCGTGGTTCGCTAGTCAAGTCCAACATGATTACTTCGCGGAGATCGTTTGTGGAGTGACTAACTCAAGTTTCAGGTATAATGCTATGGTAAAATGGCGCATGCGCGATTTTTTTCTCGACCGGGTATGCAAAGTTGCGCCATGGCGAGAATATTTAACGAATAAATGTAATGGTACAAACGGAGAATGCTCATTGATTTATCTACTAAGGTTGTAGGGTGAATTGGAATCGATATACCTTAGGGTATAGTTTTTAGCCTGCGATTTCCATCATTTTTATGAGGGAAGCAAGTTGATAAAGTGCATGATAAGTGTCTTTTGGATCTTTAAATAATGAATTTTGTACGTGCGTTTTTGTATGTATAAAATAAATTTGACTAACTAATTAAGACAATACACTCGGTAGATACATATTTACCGCAGATATAATTTTTCACCAGAAAGCCCTAAATTATTGGTAAAAGAAATATATTCTTTAAGATATACTGCACTTAAATTGAAACGCATTTTACTGAACTCAAATATTAGAATATTTATGGATTACTCTACAAAATATCGAGACTGAAGGGACTAATACAAGGAATAACGAAATCATGTTGTTCATGCTAATAATAAACTTTCTCATTATGCTGAAAATATTAGTTTCATTAACTCTATAATACAGCATATATAGACACATAAAGTTCTAATAAATTTCTATATATTACCAAGAATAAATGGTTATATTATTCAAATGTTCAAGTTAATGCTCGTAACATGTTTAAGAAAGCCATCGCCGTTTTAACGACCTATTCGTTCAAAATATTTTTTATTAACTTGCGAATTTACGTAAGAAACATCAATAGTCTCACACTTACATCGCTAAAAGTACTAATAGATAATTCAATCATATTTCCTGCGGTGAATTTTATCGTCGAATTGGACATTGCAATGATTAAAATGCAGCCAAGCTTCTTTTTTCCTGTCAATCGGTACCAGTCGATCATATATGTCATTTCACCAACTTTTTTGCACTATTTTAAGATATTCATTTTTATTAATTCCTATTGCCATAGTGTGGTCTTTTGTGTGAAAAATTTATTAAAATACGATTGCATGTACCTGTTCAGCAACTAGTTCACCTATATAACAGAATATAAAAATATTGAAAGAGAACGATATCATTAAGATCATGTAACTTATCGATTGCATAATATCATTCGAATTCCATTCCTGTCGCATCAAGAAAATAAAACCAATATTAATAGTGTATTGGTTGATATGATATATGTTAATACAGATGTTAATAGATCTTTGCATGCATGTTTATTTGATAGTTTTGTTGCGTGCATACCACTATAAAATAATATCCGAGAAGACACATGTTCATCATACATCCCAAAAATTCTACGAAAGATATTTGTTGAAGCGCATTTTCGGTGAGCGCCAGAAATCTGAAATGTGATGAATGTAAATTGCAAACACAATAACTGAACGAAACGGATTCCCAGTTATCGAAATTGCAAATGTAAATTTTCAAAGTTTTTAATTTTCAAATATCCTACCACCTATATTCTGAAATTTCTAAATTTTTTCAAATTTCATATACTATCACAAATTTTTAAGTTTTCAAAACCGCACGTTCACGAAGTTTTTAAATTATCAGATCGAGGAATACAAATTTTCAAGTACCAAATATTACATTTCATATCCATACATACTATAAAGGAGTGGGTTATCCGATTAGATACTGTGATATCACTTGGATTATATTTTGAATGAAAATAAAAATAAAATACAAATGTCACGAGATAATTACTTAATAAATTTTACTCACCTCAGTATCCGATTGTGTTGGGTGACTATGCTAGCGATTCTTTCATCCACGATATTACTCATATCGGATCGACCACCGATCAAATGTTCCAGCCAGTTCATTAATACTTGCATCTGACCGCAAGCATGCACTGCAAATACAGCGGCGATACTGCAAGCCGCTGATGTTACAATATGCATTACGACACCTGTTAGAGTTTGGATGGAGAAGATAATTTCATTACTAGGACTGTAACGAACGTCAGCGATCAATCTCGAGGCAGGAAAGGGTAACGGGACGAAGCTCAAATTTCCATCCTCTGTTACCACTTGACCAACGCTAGCAGGCACAACAATGTAGAAAAACGCAAAACCACTAAATAAGAAAAAGGTGCAGATGGCCACTAATCTTCGTCCGTAATTCGCGTTCTGTGCCATGATATTTCTATCTTCGTGATGTTCGATATTCTTCCAGTCCCATTCGATGCGTTCGCATCCCTCGTTGATGTGATTTTCTTGTAGTATCAAAAGACAATATTTCATAAACGTCATTAGGAAAAAGCTCAGTGGGCCAATCATTTTGATTTTATGATACGCTTCTTCTACTTCTATAACGAGGTACAGAGTACACGATACGAGCATGAAGCCGATTAAACCGAAACAAATAACATTAATGAGCGAAGATAAATATTTTCCTAGTAACGATTTACGTAAATTTGGCCAAGTACCAATTGGTATCAGCAACCAACGATTCCACTGAATACTCAAATCCACGTTTCTCTTATAATCATGCTCGGTCACAACAGGTTTCTCTTTATTCATCGTTGATACTCGAGAGCTTGTTTGCAACTAAGCTTGCTCGCGGTTCGATGGAAGTTCAAATGAAAAGTGACATTGCGCGTGCGCTCGTATTCCAAAGGGAGAAAGAAAGTACATGAATTATTTTTCGTAGTTTCAAAGTCCTTTGGGATTTTGCTTATGTTACCTCATGCGTTACGATTACGGCAGGATGGATGATATCTAGGGGCATTGATTTTTACAACTGTATTGCGTGTTTGCCAACAGATTGAAGGAATCAATTTGTAGAACATGAACTTTTTTTCATACTTTTCATACTTTCTAATGTTCATACTTTCTAATGTAATACGTTCTCGATGTTTTCTTCAAAATGTTTATAAATGGGATTATTGTTGATTATCAAATTGAGCGAAGAATATTCTTCTTGAATTTGTGACGGTAGGAATTTAAAAAAAAAGGATGGAACACGGTAATATGAGATATATGTATGTATTAACTCTTGCTCGCGTATGTATTCGAAGAATATTCTTCTTGAATTTGTGACGGTAGGAATTTAAAAAAAAAAGGATGGAACACGGTAACATGAGATATAGGCTCGCGTATGTATCTGAATTTGTGACGGTAGGAATTTAAAAAAAAAGGATGGAACACGGTAATATGAGATATATGTATGTATTAACTCTTGCTCGCGTATGTATTAACTCTTCTACATTTTGTGGGTCATTTTAAAGCGTGGAAAATTGTTTATGTTTGTTGCAAAATGTATACGTGATTTCTCTTTTCAATTTGTATACTAACGAATTTTCTTGGAACGTTAGAAGTCTTCTTTCTCGTCAACGTTAAGGCGAAATCGGGACAAGCAAATTCGAGGATCCCAGCAGTATTAAAATTGGTATAACATATTTATTGCGTTTAATGACGATTATAACATAATGAATCAATAACAGCGCAAATAAATTTTATTGTAATATATTGAGACACTATACAGGTAGTATTTAGACTATATTTTTCTTTAACCAACGTTCATGTCAATGTTCGTAGGACATTCAAAAATGCAACCGCTGTCTTAACAATCTATTCGTACAGGAAATAAATTTTGAAATGAGGCATTCATGAATGCGGTTGAAATAATTTCATACTTACGTCACTGAAGGTAGTTAAGCACAGTTCAACCATGTTGCCAGCCGTCAATTTAATCGACGAATTAGCCATTGCCATGATCAATACAAAGCAAAGCTTTCTGGTTCCTGATATTCGATACCAGTCAACCATATACGATGTTTCCGCAATTTTTTTACACTGGAAAAAATTATGTAAAAAGTATGATATTAAGGAAATTTCAAGAATTAATTACAAAAATATCTAACCTGTTCCGCTACCACTTCGCCTATATAGCAAAATATAAAAATATTGAACGTAAGAGATATTAGTAATATAAAAAACGTTATGGCGCTGGTTAAATGACTGGAACTCCACTCCTAAAACACCGGTAAACTGTGCATGAAGTTTATATATATTTATCGATATATGTGTCTTGTTCCCTTACCACAATAACGTAGTACCCAAGAAGACATATGTTTAACATGCAACCAATAAATTCTACGAATGACACTTGTTGCAGTGTTTTCTCTGTAAGCGCTAGGAAGCTGAAATGTAAATCAATATCGCTTATCGATAACACTGATGTTAACCTTCGTAACATCAGGAATTCGAAATTCTTTAAAACTTGAAGCTTTTACAGCTTTTAGAAACAAAATTCAAGTTTCTAAATTTAGAAGTTTTTAATCTTCATAATTTCTGAAATTTAAATTTTTCAACTCAGGACTTCAGACGGTTTTTTTTTTGTAAAATTCTGCCAATCGAAATTTTCAAGTTGTAATATTCAAATTTCAGATTTTTATGCGATGTTACTTCAGGGATTTAAATTTCTCAAATTTAAAAGTTCAGATTGCGACGTATGTTCAGAGGTAGGAACTAGGAGTTTCATAGATTTCAAATCAAACAACTTGAGTTTCCGAATTAAAGGCTGAAATTTTCAATCCCGAGCTACTATTCTTATTTTACTAAAATCCAGAATTTTTACACACTTCAATATTCGAACGTGTTGACTCACGACGTTGGCGATTCTGCTGTCGACGTTGTTATACATATCTGACCGCCCATCGATCAAATGTTTCAGCCAGCTCGTCAAAACCTGCATCTGACCACATGCGTGCACCGCAAATATAGCAGCTAAACTGCAAGCCGCTGACGTAATACTATGCATCAAATAGCCACTTACTAATTGAAGAGAAAATACAATCTCGTTTATGGGACTATATCGAGTATCCATGATAAATCTCGAGAAAGGGAACACCAGAGGAATGAAGGTCACATTGACATCTGCCGCAGGAATTTTTCCAACGCTAATAGGTATGGCGATATAATAAAAAGCGAAACCACTATACATAAAAAATGCACAGATAATAACCAATCTTCTTCCAAAATTCGCATTCGTTATCATGATTTCTCTGTCCTCAGAGTACGTAATATTCTTCCAGTCCCATTCGATGCGTTTGATACACTCGCGAATATCATCTTCGTGAAGGATCAACAGATGA